AATTAGTGTATTGTAATAATTAGAAAAATAATACTAGATTTTGTTATCAATTTTGTGGACAAATTATAAAGTTGGAATAAAAATTTACTGCCAGATAAACAATAACTTTGATAAAAATTATATTGTTTCTCATTTGAAATAAATGATTTAGTAAAATTGCATTATTAAATAATAGATTTTATATAATACTTATACCATTGATTGTTAAATAATCGTACCTGATAGTTAAATACTCGTTATAGTTGAGCACCTTGTTGCATTTATAGTCCAACAGTGTATCGTATGTATTAATATAAGCAAGGTAATGCTTATGAAAACGATTAGCCTGATCCTCACTCAAATTAGTATTTATAGTGTTAATAACCTTTATCATTAACATATCCAGCGGTGTTTGCTCGTTGCTATGGCCAGTTTTGTATTTATTATACCACTTTCTATTAATATAGCAATAATATGATTATGGTACAAATTAAAAATATTTAAAATTATCATATTCATTTACAAACCTAATTAGTTTTGCATCAGTAATTGTATCAAAGTGATCGTCCATGATAAATCCAAACGTATGCCATAGGTTAATGGCGTCAAAATGTGCCCGATTGGTCGTGGTACATGTTGTTGAATGGAATTCAGCAAAATTGTATTTGTCAACCCACGGGCGCCCAAAACACTCGCTAACCTCCCGCTCAATAACGGCCCGGGCGTCGGGAAAGTGTGGGTTTTGTGCCACACGGGTCGGCTCGACGCCACGCACCACGTAATTGATCATGCTGTTTGTTATGATCACATGTTTGAACAAGGTGTTATTGTTGTCGTCGATGTCGTAGTGTATGTCATCCGGTATTAGATCAGCGAACGATGTGATTGGCCCTCGAATGTAATTATTGTAGCCCTCGTATACTTTTGAACTCATTTTAAACTCAGGTTTTTTGAAAATTTATTTAAAAGTGAACTTCTCAAAATTAACAGCTGTTTACCACTGTCACTACCTTAAGATTATTTGTAATTTAATATAATTCTTGCGATGTAAAGTTAATTAACAAGTATTTTAATGTTATTTATTAAATCTTAAGTTTAATTAATAATAAGATAATGTTTTAAACTTAATAAATATTGTGTTAAATATTACAATGTTTTATAAATAATAAAATTGTGTTTCTTCCATTTAGAATTTTTTATTTAAAATTAAATGTAATCCAAATTTAATAATTTTATAAAAATAATATTTTTAAAGATAATATTTTTACATAAAAATATTGTAATTTTGTTACATATTTATTGATAATAATATAAAAGTTTTATTTGGACTGATGTATTGATATTGTAATAATGTACAATGTAATATTTTGTATAAAACAAAAATAAAATTCAAGATATACAAAAAATTATTTAACAATCAATAAATAATTTATATATTTAAAACCTAAATTTTGAAACAATTTTCATTATACTTTATATCGGGCGCATATACTGGACCAGTAGTAGTTACCTTTGGTAACGTGCAAACTCTCGCACACATACCGATCGAGCGCTGGGTTATTAAACTCGTTCAACTGTTTGCCATAATCCATGGCGAGCACCCACAAGCCGTGTATTTCACATACAATCCGGTCCACTGCCAACTGGGCCGACACCCCCTCCCGGGCCATAATCAGGTACACGTAGTTGTGACGGGTGTCGCCCGCGCGCACCTCTTTCCGAAACGAGTAGATCTCGTTGACTAACACACAGTGTTTAATACATGTAGAGGTGAACGCTTGGAAAAGGTCATTATCGCGTAAATTGTAGTGATCCGGGTCAAATCTGGCGCTAAGCTCAGCCCATATAAATACGGCCACACCACCACAATCCTTTTCTCTGTATAATTGTGTATAATTTATTTATTAAGTTGATAATTTTAATTAAAATTTATTTGTTTTTAAAATATTTGCTTGAGTAAATTACCTGATTGCAAAAAATTCGTCATAAGTCATCAATCTTGATGAGGTGTTGTGTTTATATGGAGTTAGAATGTTATATGTTTGTATAAAACCGAGAAAATAATCCATGTGCCTTTTCAATTGATTCTGGCTCAGATACCTATCTATATATGATCGAGCCTTTACTAGTATCCGATCCATCGAATTATCATCATCGCTATGACCCGTCTTATATTTATTGTACCACTCACTATAATAATTATGTAGTAAAGTAAAATAACATTAATATAAGTTATTAGTATTTAACAAGTAATGTTTTTTTGGTTATTAAAATAAATATTAATAATTACTTGAGTACTGATTGATCGCGTATTTGATCCAGATAATCGTCAAACAAAAATGCGAACACAGTCCAAAAATTAATGGCTCTAAATAGATCACGATTGTTTGTGGTAAATAAATAAGTCTGAAAACCAGATAAATTCATGCGGTCGGTCCAGGGATGGCCAAAGCACATGGTCATTTCTCGTTCAACCATTTCAACAGCATCGGGAACATGAGGGTTAATTACCGTAGGTTCAGGTGTTAAACCCTTGATCTTATAGTTTAATAACAGCTCGTTGTTATTTATTGCAAGATAGTTTATTTTCGTGTCATTATTATTATAGTCAGTAGATTTTATAGTTTCACTATCTTGTTCAATTAGTTTGTGGATAAAATGCAAAACATACTGTGGTATTGTGTTTTTGACAGATTTAAACAATTTGTCTAGTAGCATCATTTTAAATTATATAATGTGGATCAAAAATATTAATCTACAAAAACAATTATGGTTTAGGATATTGCATGCCGTATTTATATAATTTTGAAACTGTTTACTGAAATATTTAATTAGTTATTGTTATAATTAAACTATATTTTTGTGAGCAAGTGCACGTAACCCTATTTATAAATTTTATAAACAAATTTCCCATGTATAAATTATGTAATACTGTATCGGTTAACTATATATTGTTATTTTTACGAAATGTGTTATGATAAAAATAATACAATTAATTATTTTTTGCAATCTTCTTAATTTCACGACAATATTTACATATAATTTTTAAGTTAAAAATAACCTGGAAACATAAAAATGCACCTAAATTTTTTAATTTACGTCATCGGAAATGTACGAATTTAGTATGCAAGGACAGATTAGGGTTACACAAATAATTATAAGTTTATTACCATGTTGTCCGATTATTATCTTAATGATTGTAGTGCACTTGAAAGGATGTGGGGATATTCCCATTAAAAACTAACATGTCATTAAATATCATTGGGTTTAGTAAACGTGCTGTATTATTTTTGCTTATTTTAAAAAATTATATGTTATAATATAAGAAACCTTCGTTGATTGCGGGTGCTATTCTTATTTGCTATACAAATAATAATGATTGTATCATTATCAATTATTTTTGATCAATTAATTTATATTTAATGTAGATTTTGTGGGATTTATAGTACTTAAGGCA